AGTTATGATTAGTAAGAATTTAAAACAAAAGGATCAATGCATAAATGTTCGTAATAAGGCAAATCGGACACTTGGATTTATTAATCGCAGCGTTAGTAACAAGACACCTGGTGTGGTTCTCAAGCTATATCTTGCTCTAGTTAGGCCCCATTTAGATTATGCAGTTCAGTTTTGGTCGCCATATTATAGAATGGATATAAATTCACTTGAACGTGTCCAGCGTAGGATGACTAAGTTAATTCCCCAAATTAGAAATCTTTCATATGAAGAAAGATTAACAAAGCTTAAGTTGCATTCACTGGAAAGGCGAAGAGTTAGGGGTGACATGATAGAGGTTTACAAGTGGATGAATGGACATAACCGGGGGGATATTAATAGGGTATTAAAAGTATCAACACAGGACAGAACACGAAACAATGGATATAAATTGGATAAGATTAGATTTAGGAAAGACTTGGGTAAATACTGGTTCAGTAACAGGGTTGTTGATTTGTGGAACCAATTGCCGCGTAACATTGTGGAGGTGGGGTCCCTCGATTGTTTCAAGCACGGGTTGGACAAGTATATGAGTGGGATTGGGTGGTTATAGAATAGGAGCTGCCTCGTATGGGCCAATAGGCCTTCTGCAGTTACCTTTGTTCTTATGTTCTTATGTTACAACACCATCTAGCTCGTATCTTGTAACTCTATCATCATTACCTAACCTCAGAACTTTACATTTATCAGCATTAAACTGCATCTGCCAAACCTTTGACCATTTCAAAACCCTATCTAGATCAACTTGAAGTGATAGTGAGTCCTCCTCCGAATTAATTTCCCTACCGATTTTCGTATCATCGGCAAATTTGCAAATGTTGCTACTCAAACCTGAATCTAAATCATTTATATATATTATAAACAACAGAGGTCCCAGGACAGAGCCTTGAGGCACTCCACTTACAACATTTTCCCACTCTGACTTGATTCCATTTATACTAACTCTCTGTTTCCTTTGGTATAGCCATGCCCTAATCCAGCTTAATACAGCACCCCCAATACCATGAGACTCTATTTTTTTAATCAGTCTTTCATGTGGCACTGTATCAAAAGCTTTGCTAAAGTCAAGGTATACAACATCGCAATCCTTACCACTATCAACTGCCTCAACAATGCTAGAATAAAAAGATAACAAATTTGTTAAACATGAACTTGCCACTATTTATAAAACCATGTTGCGACTCAATTATTAATTTATGTTTTTCAAGATGAAGACGAATTTTATTTGCTATTATAGATTCGAGTAACTTTCCCACAATAGACGTTAGGCTAATTGGTCGATAGTTAGACGCAAGTGATCTATCTCCTTTCTTAAAAACTGGTATCACATTAGCAACTTTCCAAAACTCTGGCACTCTGCCTGACTCTATTGATTTATTAAATATGGTTGACAGTGGGTCACAAAGCTCCTCTTTGCATTCTTTAAGCACCCTAGCAAACACTTCATCCGGCCCTGGGGATTTGTTTGGTTTGAGTTTTACTATTTGTTTAAGAACATCCTCCCTGGTAACTGCTAAACTCGTCAACCTGTCCTCGTCCCCACCCACATAGACATAAAGTTTAAAGAGGTCTAAAAGTGGGCTTTTCGTCATAGTGGCAAGTTCATTAAGTATTTCATAAGTTACTCCATCCTCCCCAGGTGCGGTAGATTTCCCAACTTTAATCGCCATTATTAGTTCTTCTCTGGTAATACCTGTGCAAGTGACATCACCACTGTTACCTGCTATAAGTATAAAATCCTTTCTTAGATCTTTCCAAGAATCTAATGACTCTCTCTAAATAATGACTCTAAGAAATTTTTTGGGTCAAATTGATTGGAAAGGCTTGGGTATGGGGTGTGGGCCGGTCTTGGAGCGAGACATGAACCCAGCGATAGGTGACTTAAATGGGGATTTCGATGTGGATTCAATATATAACTTATTTAAGAATATTCTAAACAAAGCACAGGAACGTAGTATACCATACAAATTGAATAGATCGTATACTAATGACCCAAAGTGGATAACAAAGAATTTGAAGAACCTTATAGGTAAAAAGAGAGCTTGGTACAAAAGGATTAAAAATGGGGAGGTCACTTTAGAACAGGAATTCGTACAACTGGTTAGAAATGTTAAAAAAGAGATAAGGAAAGCAAAAAGAAACTATGAAGTTCGCATAGCAGGGCAAGCAAAGACAAATCCTAAAGGGTTTTTTCAGTTATATCGTACTAAGACTAGGGAAAGGATAGGTCCATTAAAAACTGAGACAGGTCAAATAACAGATAGTGATGAAGAGATGAGTAGTATTTTTAATAAATATTTTGTATCTGTATTTACTAAAGAGGAACTTAACAATATGCCTTCAGCCGAACAAGTCTATGTGGGTGGGGACGAGGACAGGTTGACGAGTTTAGCAGTTACCAGGGAGGATGTTCTTAAACAAATAGTAAAACTCAAACCAAACAAATCCCCAGGGCCGGATGAAGTGTTTGCTAGGGTGCTTAAAGAATGCAAAGAGGAGCTTTGTGACCCACTGTCAACCATATTTAATAAATCAATAGAGTCAGGCAGAGTGCCAGAGTTTTGGAAAGTTGCTAATGTGATACCAGTTTTTAAGAAAGGAGATTGATCACTTGCGTCTAACTATCGACCAATTAGCCTAACGTCTATTGTGGGAAAGTTACTCGAATCTATAATAGCAAATAAAATTCGTCTTCATCTTGAAAAACATAAATTAATAATTGAGTCGCAACATGGTTTTATAAATGGCCGTTCATGTTTAACAAATTTGTTATCTTTTTATTCTAGCATTGTTGAGGCAGTTGATAGTGGTAAGGATTGCGATGTTGTATACCTTGACTTTAGCAAAGCTTTTGATACAGTGCCACATGAAAGACTGATTAAAAAAATAGAGTCTCATGGTATTGGGGGTGCTATATTAAGCTGGATTAGGGCATGGCTATACCAAAGGAAACAGAGAGTTAGTATAAATGGAATCAAGTCAGAGTGGGAAAATGTTGTAAGTGGAGTGCCTCAAGGCTCTGTCCTGGGACCTCTGTTGTTTATAATATATATAAATGATTTAGATTCAGGTTTGAGTAGCAACATTTGCAAATTTGCCGATGATACGAAAATCGGTAGGGAAATTAATTCGGAGGAGGACTCACTATCACTTCAAGTTGATCTAGATAGGGTTTTGAAATGGTCAAAGGATTGGCAGATGCAGTTTAATGCTGATAAATGTAAAGTTCTGAGGTTAGGTAATGATGATAGAGTTACAAGATACGAGCTAGATGGTGTTGTGATTGCGAAGTCGGATTGCGAAAGGGATCTGGGAGTTATGATTAGTAAGAATTTAAAACAAAAGGATCAATGCATAAATGTTCGTAATAAGGCAAATCGGACACTTGGATTTATTAATCGCAGCGTTAGTAACAAGACACCTGGTGTGGTTCTCAAGCTATATCTTGCTCTAGTTAGGCCCCATTTAGATTATGCAGTTCAGTTTTGGTCGCCATATTATAGAATGGATATAAATTCACTTGAACGTGTCCAGCGTAGGATGACTAAGTTAATTCCCCAAATTAGAAATCTTTCATATGAAGAAAGATTAACAAAGCTTAAGTTGCATTCACTGTTACAGCAGGTAATGAACTAAGTTTGGCAGCTAGGATAAGTTTAGATTTAGGAAAGACTTCCGCCCATTTATTTACGAGCCCATTTGCAATTCCTTGCGGGTCTGGATGTGCAACAAAATTGTGTTTTTTACCCCTTATTTTATTTACGTCTTGCCAGATTTCTTTCAAGTTTCTGTTACTCCCAACTTTCTCTGCAAATTCCTGCCAATACTTGCTCCTAATTTCCTTTCTCTTCTCCCCACACAGCCTAGCAACTGCCAGTAAAGCATTCTTCCCTTCCTCAGTCCTACCATTCCTATTCCAATCCCTGTGAGCTCTCCTCATTGTTAATGTCCACCCCTTAAGCATCTTGTCATGTGTATAATTTTGTCTTACTGTGGATGAAATGCTAAGTGATCATTTTGCATTACAAATACAGCTTAAACTAGATAAAAAGCATGCCTGCCTTCAGAGGAAAAGGTTAAAGTTTAATGAGGGAGAATTAAGGGGTCTTGTTGGCCATATTAAGTCTTGGTATGATACTTATAAGCCGGTTTCGGCAGAAACATTTTATGAAGATTTAATTAAGGAGGTAGATGTATTTAATGCAGCATTGAACCGGAAACCATCTAGTATAAAAAGGCATCCCCCCAGAAAAGAAAATCTAGTCTATGGAACTCACTCCCTAACAAATTAAAAAGCTGTCAAACCTACGCCTTATTAGAAAGTAAAACCAAAAAGTACCTAATTTCATCTTCATAGTTTCCTACCTAGTGCCTTAAACTCGCACTGTATCTTGTGCTATCCACTCCCCTAATATATGTGCCTAAGCCATTCAACTTCACCATTGCAATCATTACTATCATCTTATATTATGGTTGTTATATTGAACGCATATTTGATTACATTATACTAAGAGATAATCCTCAAATTATGCTACAATGTACCTTCTTGTATACAAATAAATAAATAAATAAATAAATGGGTTATAAACTAATGGAACCGCCTACCCGCCTAAGTTGTAAATGCCAGAACTGCACTAATTTAAGATCCAAATAGATAAAATCCTCAGAACAAATGGAGGAACCTTTGACAAGCCGTCGGCTTTCTGTCCTCGTCGAGGCTACTAGAAAGAGATACTGGTAAATTCCAGGCAAATTCTCAGGTAAATTCTGAATTAAATTCACGAAATTAAGAGAAAAACTATAGTCAATTACGCTCGTTTCTCCTTAAAATATATTTCATGCATTTACCAAGACGAATATAATTAGAAATACGACTTTCCACCGGGAAAAGAAACAATACTTGATTTTTCTAGTAATTTACTTAGTGTTTATAAGTTATTTTCTTGTAAATGTTAGATAGTGTGGTTGTTTGAGGAGTTGCGTGAAGGTGTTTACAGTGTGCGGGGCTCCTGGAGGCGGCCTTCACTCCTCCCAGACATTACATATTACCCGACTTGTGGCTACCTCTGCACCATGGAATCAGGTAATTCGTTAAGGGGATTTACAATGGACAGTAAAGCAATGTGTAGTTAGGTTATAAGGTATGCTTAGCGTGCCAGTAGTGAAGATATGAGTGTGTGTGTGGGGGCTCCGTCAGGTTACTTTGGGATCATCAACATGCTCATTTATACCATGCCTGGCCGGCCTCGCACTACACTGCCTCACCACACACACACACGCCACAGCTTCAGCCTGGACAACCACACCTCTCAAAGATAGAGTCAATTGTGTGTGTGCTGTACCTGGATCTTGAGTGGCCTTTCGACGGCGTACCTCACACCAGCTTCCTGCTTTGAGCTACACGCCTGGCTAAAATCCTGCCCTACAAGTAATTATCCTAAGAAGGCACCAAACTAGGGGGAGTATCTAACATCCTACCTTACAAGTAGAACCACCTAAGTGTACATACTAGGGAAGGAAACTATCAGGAGAAAGCGCCAATTCATTACGACTATATAGCACTTGGAAGGGGTCAGGATAAAGATTTACGATGGGACGGGGGACGGTCGGGAATTGAACGCTGACCTGGGTGAAGCGAGACCGGCGCTTTACCACCCAGCCCAAGTGATCGGGCAGGTATACGTACATGGTGGCTGCTTATATGACATCCTAATTGGAGCAGGTGGCCCACAAGGCTTCATTCTACTGTACTGACAAATACTGTACTGTATATGAGGAATGTTGAAATGTTCGTAAACATGCATATACAGTATTCAAGTGTCACATACACAATCTATTATCACACTATAATACAATTTTTGGCCCTGTTTAGTGTTTTTCATTTTTTATTGTTAAAATCATATAAATTATAATAAAACGAGAAAACAGTATGTACAACAAACTTGGAGGAAAAGAAGGTAGTGATTCATTTGTATAAATCTGGTGTGCCTCCATTTGGATTACTGTATCCAAGCATTGAGATCACATCTTCAGAAGAACATAGCTGGGGCCTCGTAGCCTGGTGGATAGCGCGCAGGACTCGTAATTCTGTGGCGCGGGTTCGATTCCCGCACGAGGCAGAAACAAATGGGCAAAGTTTCTTTCACCCTAAGTGCCCCTGTTACCTAGCAGTAAATAGGTACCTGGGAGTTAGTCAGCTGTCACGGGCTGCTTCCTGGGGTGTGTGTGTGTGGTGTGTGGGGAAAAAAAAAAAAAAAAGTAGTTAGTAAACAGTTGATTGACAGTTGAGAGGCGGGCCGAAAGAGCAAAGCTCAACCCCCGCAAAAACACAACTAGTAAACATAGCTGCTCTGGAGAAGGTGCAACACCGGGCAATAAATATTTTTCCAGAGCTAAGTCAACTCTCATATCAGGAGCGGTTGAGAGCCACAGGGCTAACAACGCTACAAACCAGGCATGACAGGGTGGATCTCATCGAAACTTTTAAAATACTGAACAATTTAGAGGGTATTGATCCGGAAAATTTCTTTAAAAGGTCAGATGTAACAGAAACAAAGAGCAACCGTTGCTAGCTCAACAAGCCACAATGCAGGACTGAGAACAGGAGATGCTTATTCACCCACAGGGTTATAAGCCCATGGAACCACCTACCTACCGAAACCATAAATGCCAAAATGCTGTTAAATTGTAAAATCATCAGGACAAATGGGGGGACCTTTAATAAGCCACCGGCTTCCTGTCTCCATCGAAGCCACTAGTGTTAGTGGCCCTCGGGTAAATTCAGATAAAAACTGTTGAACAGAACAAAATCAATAACAACAGTCATGTCAGGTGCACAAAACAAAATCACGCATGTCCCCATCATGGAACTAAATCCAAATGCAACTTATACAAGATATTACAATCAGTATGAAATCGAACAAAGTAATACATTTAACCAACATGATGAAATCTCTAATACAATATCAGCGACAATAACTGTATATTTTGCCCAAACAAAAGAAAGGCATTCAAAGAGCAATCCAGGAGAAATGTAACACAGTACAAAGAATATTAATCTAAACATACCAAATCTACCCATTTTTTTTTATAAACAAACATAACAAAAGTATACTGTATATAGAAAATGGCTATTATTCCCCCTCAAACTTTGCTTTGACCTTTGCTTTAGACAGTTTAAGGAAGATGTCTTGAAGGTTACTGATTCCTTATCTAGAGTTGTAACAATGTACTGTATCACAGCTCTTGACAGTTTGAGAGGAATAATAGCCATTTTCTATAGCTTGAAGACTTAATTTCTTAAGAGAGACACAATTGACTTGAGAATGGTCTAGGACGGACTGAAATGTCGTCGTCCCTTCACTTTCTAGTGTGTGGTTTGGTCAACAACTTAAGGAATTAGAAAATAACACTACCCAGGAAAAAAATAATGTTATTAAAATAATTGTTTTGCATTCATACATAATAGCAAATTCATTTGTCTATATCTTGGTACTAAATTTATAGTTACTGTATAACCCAAAACTAACATTGTAAAATAAGAGTACTGTACTGTATAAATATTTTAGGCATTGCTAAATGAATATTGAACTTCCTAGAATGATTATGGTCAGGTACACGATGACAGGTTGGAACATTAAGATACTGTACCTCTCCTTTCTACTTGGTTAAGCCTGACTACTTATGCTTATAAACAGCCTATTCGTACTCACAAATATTGCGATATCAAAAGTAAAGTTGATGAAATTCCTTGAATATAGAAAGGCTAACACATTGGGAAAGATCACATGAATGGGACATGTCATTTGGCAGAAGTACTGGACTCTCCATAAAAAAAGTGATACACAAACTGAACTGTACAGTTTATAGTACTGTGGTTCAGAGACTGAGAAAGTGATGAGAATTTGCTTGTGAAGGTGGCGAGTCTGTCTGGAAAAGTGGTGAGAGTGCACACGGTGAGTCACAATAACATGGTTGAAGAAATGATGTCCAAACCACACATCAGAAAGAGAAGAAATTATGACATTTCAGTTTCATTTCAAACCGTGTTTCTGCTTGGGAAAGTTGTAAGTCTGCTTGGGAAGGATGTACTCACCTACTTGTGCTTGCGGGGGTTGAGCTTTGGCTCTTTTTTTTCCCGCCTCTTAACTGTCAATCAACCGGTGTACAGATTCCTGAGCTTATTAGGCTCAATCATATCTACATTTGAAACTGTGTATGTAGTCTCTCTCCACCACATCACTTCCTAAGACTTTTACTTGTGAGAGCTTGCTTGGGAAGGTGGTGAGAGTGCTCACCCGGGAAGACAGTGAGAGAGCCCGCCCGAGAAGGCGGTGAGAGAGCCCGCCCAGGAAGACAGTGAGAGAGCCCGCCCAGGAAGACAGTGAGAGAGCCCGCCCGAGAAGACAGTGAGAGAGCCTGCCCAGGAAGGCGGTGAGAGAGCCCGCCCAGGAAGGCGGTGCAAGGTTTAAGAATGGGGTTGTGAAACTCTCTGGAAAAGGCAACAACATTGCCATTGTCTATTGGGATTGTTGTTGTTACTCTACTGTAGGGAGTGAGTGCACCAATTCCAAACTTCAATAATTTTATTTATTGTATTCTCATTATTATAGGCCTTGCATGGTGCATTAGAAACATATCAATATTTTTATATAATTATTAAATTCAGTGCATTCCTAGGAAATAGTCTTTGCTATATAGTACAGTACACATTTGTTTATAAAAGATAAAATACTATTTATATCTAAGTCATTATCATTGCAGGATAGTAAGGATTTTGATGTAATGTCTAAATTTTAATACTGTAATCAGTCATTTCAGAAAATATTCATAAATATAATTAAAAATGATTTTTATTGCTATAATTTCAGAGGAAGAAACGGGCTCAAGCCCTGCTGCAGCACATGACTCTGATAATGAATCTATGAAATCTGTTGCATCCAGAACTTCACGGGCGTCACGAACCTCGAGGGTATCTGCATCATCTAGGGCATCACGAAGATCAAGTGTCAGTAGTGCTGGAAATATGAGTGAAGACGAAGGTGACAGAAGGTTGGTAACACTCAGAGTTTTTTTTGCCCAAACACACAGTGTGTTGGCCATGCTATGGAATGTAGAATAGAAGAAAATTGATCACACACAAGCTACAAACTATGTGAAAAAGCTTGAAAAAATTCTGATAAAGAAAGAGATCGAGGGGTATTTACCTATCAGTACTTATCTATAACTGACTACTAAGAATTGATGTCTAGCTCTTTATGCCCCCACCTACTATTGTATTGTTGTACCCATTGCATTAATTCTTCACTATTCTAACAATCGATATCTTTGTCAAACTTTTCCTTAAAGTTGTGAATGGAGGTGACTTCCACAACTACTACTCTTAGTAATTACCTAAGTGTAGTTACAAGACGAGAGCTACGCTCGTGTTGTCCCGTCTTCCCAGTACTCTTTATTGTATAATGCTTTGCAACTACTGACGGTTTTGGCCTCCACCACCTTCTCACTTAACTTGTTCCAACCGTCTACCACTCTGTTTGCAAAAGAAAACTTTCAAATATTTTTTTGGCACCTTTATTTCTTTAGCTTGAATCTGTGTCCTCTTGTTCTTGAAGTTGCTGGTTTCAGGAGTTCCTCTTTGTCAATTTGGTCAATCCCTGTTAGTATTTTGTAAGTGGTGATCATATCACCTCTTTTTCTTCTATCTTCTAATTTTAGCATATTTAATGCCTCTAGACTCTTCTCGTAACTTGTTTTTCAGTTCACTTGTTGACCACCCGTACAGGCTACGAGTATTTCTTTATACTGTACTCCTTTGACTCATTTGCAATTTCAGCTTCCACTTTTGTTCTCTTGTGCTACTTTCTCTCAACTTAGAGGCTGTCCTTGATGCTTAGTTGGTTAGGCCAGGGGTGCATTGTGTGTTGTGTCCGGTGGCGGCTCTCTGCCGCTTCCTTCATGCCACCGATTCTGCTTCAGTGAATGCCTTGTGGGTTGATCCTGTTTCCTTGGTCCACTGTTCCAAGGCTCTTCTTTCCTAGGTCATCTGCAGTGTTTGTAAGTCTAGCCAGTTTGTGGTCTACCTTTGTGCCCATGACATAAAGGAAGTATGCTGCTCTTTTGGCTGTGTTTGTGAACATGAGCTGGACTGACATTTGGGCATCGGGGTTTTGGAGGTCAAACAGGGTTCTGGCGGCTTTGTATTTGGTGAATGTTCTCAGTCTTTGGCTCTTGTGTGGCCATGGGTTATATCTCCTGGCTGGGAGTCTCATTCTCCTCTTGATTCCTGCAGTGCTCTCTCTCTCTCTCTCTCTCCTCCCTGGTTAGTTCACATGTTTTCTTCCTTCCCTTTGGGCATTTAGCTTCAGGGAGTCACAAGGGGGCTCCCTACAGAAAACCAGAGATGAATGTAATGCAACACCAATTTCTGGGTGAGCCCCGCTGGCTCCTCGATCCTTTACTTTCCTCCCAGTTTGTTGGGTGTCTGTCTAGCTGAGCCTTTGAACTAGAAACTCAGGCCTGGCAGGTGGTGAACTATCTCCCCCCTCCCTCAAACAAGTGTAGGAGATGGGGCGAATGAGCTCGTGCTAGTTCCGAGAGAATTCGATCATTTGTTTACATAGATCTTGAGGTTATCTTGAGATGATTTCGGGGCTTAGTGTCCCTGTGGCTCGGTCCTCGACCAGGCCTCCACCCCCAAGGAAGCAGCCCGTAGCAGCTGTCTAACTCCCAGGTACCTATTTACTGCTAGGTAACAGGGGCATCAGGGTGAAAGAAACATTTTTGCCCATTTGTCTCCGCCTCCACCGGGGATCGAACCCGGAACCTCAGGACTATGAGTCCGAATCGCTGTCCACCCAGCTGTCAGGCACCCTAGATGGGCGGACTCTTTCAGCCAATTCTGAAGCTTCGGTCTCTCTTGAATCCAGTTTGGTTTGTTTTGACTCCCTGACTTTCTGGTTGCCTTTCCCAGTGAGGTGGCAAAAATAAATGTCATCGCTGCATGCGTCTCTCTGAAGGTGCGGGGGAATGGAGGTTCTAGCTCCACTCCCTGGTAGGCCTCCAGATCTCTTATGATTGATGTGACCCAGTAGATGGTAACCATCTCTGCATATGGCTTCAGGAAACCACCTTGACTCGCCCAGAAATTGAAGTTTCCTTACTTGGAACATTACTTTGTTAAAGCTGGCCTGGTGTATACCTCTCTTGATCAGCTAAGATCAAAACATACCTAGTTTTTATATCATAAAAATATTATTTTGAAATAGGAGCAGTATTCTAGGAGTTACTCAATTCAAGATTATCACTTTCGATATTCCACTGTCTAGTAAGTAGGGAAATATTAATGTTTTCATATTGTTTAATACTATAATTGCTTATTATTTGTGGTGATCAAAATTACTGTACAATTTTAATATTAGTATGTTACACATATTCCAGGGACTTTAATGTGAAATTTTATTTTCAGGTCGGGTGGTGGAAGTGATAATGAAGTTGAGGAGAGGCGCTCTGTAATGGATAGTGAGGATGAGGACATACAGCCTCAGAAACCAAGTTCTGAATCTCCTAAAAACCCTGCAACTGTTGATGAACAGAAAGAGAAAGTATCAGAAGAAGTGTTTGGGGCTTCAGATTCAGAACCCGAGGCAGGGGGCAGCAAGTCAGGCAGCAGACCTGGCAGTCGTACACAAAGCAGATCAGGCAGTAGAGCAGGCAGTGGGTCAAGGAGTAGATCAAGGTCCAGGAGCAAGTCTGGAAGCAGGGCAGGAAGTGGATCACATAGTAGATCTCGCTCACGTAGCAAATCTGGTAGTAGAGCAGGAAGTGGCTCACACAGTCGCTCTAGATCAAGAAGTAAATCTGGAAGTAGAGCAGCAAGTGGATCTCGCAGCAGGTCTCGCTCGCGCAGTAAATCAGGTAGTCGAGCAGGCAGTGGTTCTCCTAGTCGTTCTCGATCTCGTAGCAAGTCAGGAAGCAGATCTCGATCTAGAAGCAAATCTGGGAGTAGATCCAGATCTCGCAGCAAATCTGGGAGCAGATCTCACTCCAGAAGTAAATCACGATCTAGAAGTAAGTCTGGAAGCAGGTCCCGCTCTCGAAGTAAATCAGGAAGTAGATCACGATCTAGAAGTAAGTCAGGAAGTAGATCGGGTTCCGGAAGTAGATCTCGTTCGAGAAGCAAATCTGGAAGTAGATCACGTTCAAGAAGCAAGTCTGGAAGTAGGTCACGTTCTGGCAGCAGATCACAATCGAAAAGCAAATCTAGAAGTAGATCACGTTCAAGAAGCAAATCTGGAAGTAGATCCCGTTCTAGAAGCAGATCTGGGAGTGGATCTCGATCTCGCAGCAGATCTGGAAGTCGAGCAAGGTGAGAAGTTTTAAGTTTCTGAACATATACAGTATATATATTTTATGTTGAGTGTATAGTAATTGGTATGTGGTAAGATTAGTTAAACTGGAAAATGGATAAATGAAGATAAGGAGATAAACTTGCAAAAATTATTCAGAAAAGTGAAGCACATTTCAAAAGAAGTGCAGAGGGGCAGCTGGTGAATTAGTAACTAGGAACATTAAACATAAGCATGAGAGAATATTAAATGGCAAAGATGAAATTGGAATTAAGTATATAGAAGGAATACTTTCTATTTCTATTTCTATTTCCAATGGGATATGATGAAAGAGGTGCTATTGTGAACAGAGTGGGATTTGATGATGTGAGAAGAGTGCAAGATAGTATATTAGCTGATAAATGTATGGAAGTGATGAATATGTCGGTGAGAAAATATGGGAGATCTGTTGGTGGTGATAAAGTATATGCAAAAATTATTATATAAAGTGGAGAAGAAAGGAATATATAGAAAATTTGAAGTGAGGTTAAGAGAAAAGAAAGTCAGTGAAGGAAAGCTGCTCATGGCAGCCAGAGGTCTGCATAAAGGAGTGTTAGTGCTGTGTTGTGTGCAAATGCGAGATGACATCATTGCATGAACTTGAATAATCAAGAATTTGACTAGTAGAAATGGCCAATATGATAAGTATGTGTGGTGTTAGGAGAATAGAATAAAAAGTAAGAATGTTATGGAGAGATATGGAGCATAAAAGTACACAGCAAGATTGAGGAGAGTATACCGAGATTATTTGGTCATGTTGAATGTGTGGATAATAGTTGATAGGTGAAGAGCGTATTCAAATGAATTTGAAACTAGGAGGAGGAAAAAAAGATTGTGAAGAAAATGGCAGAGAGTTCATGGAAAGTGAGTGTGTAAGGAAGTAGGGATTGTGAGTTTACAGAACATTGGGTATGAAAAGGCACAAGGCTTTGTAAAAGTGGTTTGTTAGGAGGGGGAATGAATGTACTGTATATCATTATATACTGTATTTGACAATTTACAGGGAGCACTGCTGCTCTGGGATAACTGTTGGCATTTTTCCTTACCCCATAAGGTTGCTACATAGTGTGAATGCTATATATAAATGGATGAACAATGTGTTTATTTAGTAATACAGTATACAAAAAAAAAATTCTTCACTATAATACTCAATTTTTGTCTCAGGCCTGATGCTTCCTCACCCTCAAGGAAGAGGAAATGGGGTAATGATAATGAGTGAATGAATAAATAAGATTTGTTATTAATTAGGCACTGAAGTTATGTTTTAAAATTTTGTTTGTTTGTCTAAATATGTGATAATTTCGTACTCAAATTTAACAATTTATCAAGGGCTCAGCCTTATGGATCTAGTTCAGAAAAAATAGCCAGGTTTGTGTATTAATTCATTAGTATAACTATATTATAACTATCTAATGTAATCAAATTTCTTTCTAAGAATCTTCTACTTGTTTTTGTTGACTTCCAAATTGAATGTAAAATATATGACATTTTATAATTACGTTTTATTTTGTTTCAGTGCCAAAAGTGGGAGCAGTCGTTCCAGATCACGCTCCAGATCAGGAAGTGGTTCAGATGGAGTCAGTTCTCCCAAGAAACGCAAAATGTTATCCGGTTCAGAAGGGTCAGGATCGGATGTAGTGAAACGTAAAAAAGTAAGATCACATCTCATGCTTTGTATACTGTATATATTTGTTAGATGGATAATTGCTGTAATGTGTTACTCTGAGCTATTCTACTTGGTTGCCTCATAGGTTAATGTAATAATCTGGTTTCAGTGGGAAGCGATCATGTAATCAGGGGAAGCCACATTTGAGGCACTGGCACCATGGAAAACTTTTCAGGCATCATCGCAGTTTCATCTTGATTACCCACCTGTCTACCTGTTGGAAATTCTGGAGACCAATGTCCCTGTACTCACCTAATTGTGCTTGCGGGGGTTGAGCTCTGGCTCTTTGGTCAAAACATTATTGCCAACAGCATTTGGTGTTCCCAGGCGGTCATCCATCCAAGTACTAACCATGTTCTATACCATCGTTGGCACAGAACATGGCACAGAAGGCCTGTGTCCCAGGCCTTCTTGTTGCTGGTCTGATCCACCAGGTTGTTTGATGCGGCTGCTCGCAGCCTGCTGTATGAGTCACAGCCTGGTTGATCAGGTATCCTCTGAAGGTGCTTGGATTTCTCTTTTGAACATTGCAAGAGGTTGGTCAGTTATGCCCCGTATGTGTAGGGGAAAAATTGTTGAAAAGTCTTGGGCTTTGAGTTCTTTAAGCATACGTATTGCACCTCTACTTTCCAGTGGGGCCGTTTTGAATATCCTGCCATGCCTTCATGTCTTGTGTGGTGTTATTTCTGTGTGCAAGTTTGGGACCAGTACTTCTAATATTTTCCAAATGTAAATAATTATGTACTTCTCCTGCCTGTGCTCTAGGGAATACAGATTAAAAATTTGTAGGCAGTCCCAATAATTTCAACCCATCCCCCTGTTTAGGTAGAACTTACAGTAACGATGAGGACCATCGTACGTGTACAGTATTCACGTGAAAGGCAAATAGAAAGTAGAAATCGGTACTATTGAGTTTGGACAAACTGAAGAAGTTTTTGTATTGATGCAAAGAAAACTTAACCTAACCTTACCTTCCTAGGCCTAATACATGCTATTTGAGGCCTAATATAATACATATATATGCTATACTAGACTTAGGAATATTTAAGTTTGGTGTATAGCTTTTTTTTTTTTTTTTTTAATCTGTGATGTGAATACCAAATTTTTACTATCTAATTGTCCATTATGTGTCTGTGCGATGGTCCACATAATTACAAAAAAATACTATGTAAACAGAACGGGTTGATAATTTAGATATTTTATTAAGTGGATTATAGTAGCATAGGACCTTTGCATACTCTTCAGGTCAGCAATTTCTCCAACTTTGAATGGGGCTGTATGTGTGTAACAATATTTCACTCTAGAGAGCATAAAAGTATCATCATTGGCCTGACATCTCTTGTTTGGAAGGTTCTTGTTATCCAATCTGTTTTTTCTGTCGGGAGCCCTGTCGGTTTCCTGAAGCTATCGGACTGACACATGCTATATTAGTCACATGGAATTCTTGCCTACCAGGAACTATGATCCAAAATTTGGCTCCCTTAGAGAGGTGCAAGGAGCAATGTTCTATGAAAACTTAACTCTTTGGGAGTATATCTATGTCTGCCATCGACCGGAGAAGGCACCCGGAAAGGTAGGCGTCCCAAAACAAACCCCAACTGGTAGAACATTGCAATCCAAGACTGAACACAATCCAAGAACTTTCCCCCAAGAAAAACATTGCAACAAGCAAAATGTCATGAAACCGACCGAAGTGCCACTCATTCGTGCAACCCCCCTAGCCAGCTGCTCGTTCTCCCCCCCCCCCCCAGTTCATCGACTGATACTGGCTGGAGCTGGTGTCTCCTCTGGCCTTATTATCCTGTCAGGATTTTGCCCTTGCGGTTGTGCCTGCTGTATGGGTGGTGCGGTGACCAGGAGAAACCTGTACTTCGGGCTGCATGTGCTTAGAGTTCTCTTTCCCTAGGCACCCTGTAAGTACTGTACTTCCCTTGGGTCTCAGGGTTCTCTTCCTTGGGGCTTTCGGGTTCTCACTTCTGTAGGGGTTGCTGTCGCTTGACATTGACCTCGCCTTTAGGATCGGTGGGGGTTTTGGTGTTTTTGTTTGGCCCTGGGTAGGGAGTGTTTGTTGCTGGATTGGGATGCATTGTGGTTGTGCAGCTCGCATACCTAACTGTGGCCATATCTCTCTCTGATGCCTTATTGTTGTGTGGTGTGTTTTCAGGGTTTTTGTTTTCATGATCTTTTCTGCATGGTAGAGGTCTGCCTGGCTTTCAATTAGGTTCGCCTAGGTGGCATTGGGTGGTTCTCCTCTAGGGCCCCGAGATTGCACCCTTTTCAGGGGTCAGATTGCTCGGTAATTGAAGGGGGATCGACCAGCTTTGCAGCACCAATGCCTGAGCTTACCGTGGAGATACATTCCCCTGCTAATCCTGGTAAACCTTTTGGGAGCTCGCCATTACTATGGATATGTCTTTCTAGTCTTCTCTTGCTTTGTACGAGTTACAGGGTTGTTCGTTGCCCTTGTCTCAGGGTGACGCTCATCTGTTTTTCCTCTGTCATGCTGCTTGTTGGGTTGGTGACACCTTTGCCCCGGAATTGTGCGAGACTTGTTCTCTGCTCGTTCTCCAATTTACCCATTCTTCTTCTTCGGAAGATCTTAGGGGTCAAGCGGCTGTCGCGTTGCATATTAGGTTTTTGTTATTACAGTGCGTTAGCTTGGTTGGTAGCTCAAATGCCTTGGGGCTGCCCTGTTTTGGTTTTAGGGACCTGGACTTGGGGGTATTGGTCGCTTCGACTTCGGTTTCGTCCATGCCCTTGAGTCCTTCCCGGCTGGCGTGATTTGCCCTGCTCCCCCCCCCCTTCCTTGTGCCCCCTTGCTGCTGGCTCCCAAACATCTGAGGGCTTCTGAGTCGAGGCGGGATTTTCGTTTGGTCTGAGACGGGGCCGGCTCTGGGGCTGCCACATTGGATGCGAGCACATTGGACTGGGCTTACTGGGGGTTTCTTTATCACTTCTCTCTGGTTCAGCTGTTGCTTCAGGTTCTTTCCAGACCTGAGACATTCTCCTGCAGGCTTCTGCTGTTGTTACTTGGACCATATCACTTGGTAGGGATAAGGGCGAAGAAAATGGTTCACAGCCAAAAGGTCTACCAGATCATAACATTTTTATATTGTTTATATTAAATACTAATTTAATTTGCCTAGTTTTACCTACATTAATCAAAGTTGAAGTACAATTGATACAGTGTTTAGGTTATATCTTGTTTAATTCTAGTTTAAATTACATTGCATTTTTTTTTAAATAAAATACAGTATCAAACAGTCCATATGTTAAAATGATTGAAAATCTAAATTTTTATGGAAATTTGGCTTCTTTGGCAATTTTGGCTAATTTAGTATGACATTCACATTCTACGAAATGAAATTCCTATACTGTATATCCAGCATTAACTTTGTAGATTAAAAATAATAAATATCTCAAGATAAAAGTGGAAATAGTTATGATACTATTAAGTTCTAGTTCTAATAAATTTTGACTAGGTATATAGCTTTAATTAATGTTAAATATTTAACTTTACTCTCCAACTAAATTACCTATTAAATGCAGTATGTATTTTGCTGTACAGTGCAGGTATTTGACTATTATATAAGTATTTTCTTGTTTTAGGTCAAACATAAGAAACGGGCAAGTGGAAGTGGGTCTGGCGGAGTCAGTGATTCTGACGATGAGGCTCCTCGTTCCAGTAAGAAAATCAAGAAGCGCAAAAAGAAGTCTGTGCTTAGTGGAAGTGATAGTGATTCAGGTCCCGAGGTTGGTTAATTTTTTAAGTCGAGTATTATAATGAGAGAATTCTTATTTCTGGAATCAAGTATATTAATGATGATGTGTAACCCTGGTGTGTGTAATACCGCGCACCAGGGTTAGGTTATCTTGAGATGATTTCGGGGATTTAGTGTCCCCGCGCCCGGTCCTCGACCAGGCCTCCACCCCCAGGAAGCAGCCCGTGACAGCTGATTAACACCCAGGTACCTATTTTACTGCTAGGTAACAGGGGCATAGGGTGAAAGAAACTCTGCCCATTGTTTCTCGCCAGCGCCTGGGATCGAACCCAGGTCCACAGGATCACAAGTCCAGCGTGCTCTCCGCCCTGCCTACCGGCTCCCTCGGCTTCAGGGGACTGAAATTACATACACAAATGTATGATTTGCTATTGCGTTCGTAGGCTTGTTCTCTATTATGTGGCTGTCGAGCATTTTATTATAGAATAGCTTATTCTGCTTCTTATATTGTACAATATTATTCTCCTCCCATTTCTGGTCAAAGGTCTACCCATCCTATAAAATTAGGAAATGGTGATGAATTTTACTCAAATAGTTAATAGTAATTTAAGAGCATTGTAGAATGAAATGGACCTTGATAAGAGATGGGAGTTTCGAGTGTATTAGGCACTTGGAAATTAGTATTGTGATTATTTTTCAAATAAAACAACATATAGTGTTGCTAGGAATGATATGCAAATATTAAGCATTTATTTAAATTCAAATGTTTTAATAATAAATGTTTATACATTTATAACAGTTTACATGGATTTATAGTAGATTATTTACCTAAGAGAAGTTATAATAAGAGGTTGTAATATGTATAATTATATACTCTATTCTCTATTACTCCATACTCAAGATTTAGATTTAGAAGCTTGCATTTATTAGTGATTTAAAAATCATTGCAGTTGTCAAGTTTAGAATCCGATGCTGTGTTTATAAGAGCTTCTACAAATCATCACAATAATAGCTAAACTAATCAGGGGTCAGATTCACGAAAGCACTTACGCAAGCACTTACAAACGTGTACATCTTTCCTCAATCTTTGACGGCTTTGATTACATATATTAAACAGTTTACAAGCATAAGAACTTGCCAATCAACTGTTGTTATTGTTATAAACAGCCTCCTGGTGCTTCGGAGCTCATTAACTGTTTAATATTTGTAAACAAAGCCGCCAAAGATTGAGAAAAGATGTACAGGTTCGTAAGTACTTGCGTAACTGTTTTGTGAATCTGGCCCCAGATGTACATCACTTTAAATAAAAATGACATGTTTGGCATTCATTATATATTTTTACTATTGTAGGATTTTTATTTTTACAATATCAGAATTTTTGCTATGCCTACAAAATATAAATAATATTGACGCATATACCACTAACTATTTACTCACCATCTCTGCTGTCGTTGTCTGAATTATCATCTTTAAATTTTGATAGCGAGGCAAGAGTAAGAAGTCCAAAGGCAGTGAAAGCGAAGGTGGTTCTGACAAGGGTCCCGACAGACCTGGCAGTGCTCTGGCTGAAGAAAATTTGGGGAATGAAAATGGTGAAGAAGGTGCAAGCAAAGTACGTATCTGTTCGTGTTTTTTATAAAAAAAAAATACAATATCTTGTTATATTTACACATTTTTCTGGCACGGTCTTGAAAATTAAACTGTCACTAATTCCACAAAATATGATGTTAATGCAGGTAGTATATATGGGGTTTCAAATTATTCTCTCAGCCTGTTTTTCTCAGGACTCTGATTGGGATGGAATGGTAGTTGGTTTGATATGCAAGACCTTCAGCCACCCCCATGGGTGGATCTGTTTGTGTTCACGTGGAATAATATGCTTTCTGTTTTTGTGGTTCAGCTTTCATATCAGAAGTGTTGTCAGAATTTGATGGGTCTTAAGGCAGGGGCACTGGGTGTTTGTGCAGGTCTCACAAACTGGCATTTATGAGAGTATAACTTTGCATTCCTCACAATGCCAAGTAGGACTTGGAGAACTTTTGAATGCCGATAGGTGAATTTTGTGTAGTCTGGCCTGAAATTGGCTTTTCTCCAGTGCGTCCCTAGCACCAGTATAGTGCAACAGGGAAGTTTGCAAATATTACTGCTGTACTAGTGCAGTGGGTTCAATAGAACCTTCAGTGATCTTGCCTTTGGGAGCATAAGTGTTTTTGTTCCGAAAGGATGATTTTATATTCACTCGCAGCTAGATTTTGATTCTACTTGACTGGACTTAGCAAGTCACCACATTATTTCACAATAGAGTTTGTAGTGTATGAAATAAATTTTATAGGGGACTAAGGACACTTCCATGAATTGGCTGATTCCAAAAAATTATTTGCTTTGATTATTGATGTAGATACAGTTATCATTAATCTTAGTCAAATACGCAAAATTATAACCATTTAATAATTGTCGTTTCTAGGGCGTGTCCCAATTGTCGGACAGTGAAGATGAAGCAATACGTGATCAACTAAGGCAAGGCAATGAAGAACCAGACTTTGTCAATGATTTTGATATGATGATGGCCAAAAAGAAGGAAGAAGGGGGCAAGCATCGAAGGAGGAAAAATAATGTGGATATCATCAATGACAATGAGGAACACATTGCTATTATTGTTAGGAAGGTAAGCGAATAATTAAATAATTAAATATTGTTATTGTGTAAATGAGTTTCTTCCTAGTAAATTTTATTAAGCATATGAAATTTATGAAAGTAGGTGTGTGTGTATAATTACCTAAGTGTAGTTACAAGATGAGAGCTATGCTCGTGGTGCCACATCTTCTCGGCACTTTGTCATATAACTCTTTTGAAACTACTGATGGTTTTGGCCTCCACCACCTTTTCACGTGTTCCAACTGTCTACCATTTTGTTTGCGAAAGTAAATTTTCTAATGTTTTTTTCGGCAGCTTTGTTAAGTTAGCTTAAATCTATGACCTCTTTCTCTTGAAGTTCTAGGTCTGAAGAATTCTTATTTATCAATTTTTTTGATTCCTGTTACTGTTTTGTACATATGTACTTAGGGCAGACTGTCCCTAGGCACTTGTTTAGCATTGCTCCTGCTCTGACAGCTACTTCTTCAGTGAGTTTGGGAGTTCATCCCTGCTGCTGATACCTTTTGATAGTTGTGTTTATCTAGAGGCTGCTTTCAGTATCAGTTCTTTTGATGAATGTTCCAGGTGTCTCGGTTATTTTGCCTGGACCTTACCTTCAGGCCCTGGTAATTCCTCTGCACGTCTTTGGTGTGGCTCACTGTGAGTTGACCTGCCAAGCTCACACTTGCTACTTGTGTGTTTGGCGGTTGTCCGTCTGTTTTGCTACAAATGAATGATCAGTTTTACTGTCTCCTCCTCCTGCTGCTTATTGGTTTTGTATTACCCTCTACCTCATGGCCTGTGACATTTAGTTCACCAATCTGCTTTTGTGGTTCTAGCCTATGTTTCTTGGTTTTGTTTATTTGCTTTTGTAGTGATGAGGTTCCACAGGTGGCTACCACTTTGTTTCCCATTTGTGTGTCGCTTGGAGCTCGTGTGGTTTCCCAAGAGTCGGCCTGATTCATTTTTGGCATTTTAGGGTTGGATCAGCTGGTGTTTCTGCTGCTACACTTTTCTCTGCTCTCCTTACTGTTGTCCATTAGGCTTTGTTGTGCACCCTCTCTTGGTGAGGGTTTTGGAACCAGGGCTACATTTTGTTGTGGGTGTAGCTTGTCCTTCAGAGGTTGGCCTTTTCACTTTGACACCAGAGACAATTGAGCTGTTGCTTCCCAAACAGGAAATTGGTAAATTTAACAACAAAGAGAAGTGATATTAGAAAAATACAAAAATTGCAATTTTATGATAATTATTTTACATGAACCGACAATCCAGATTTCATCACAGCTTTCATGGACTCAGGATTTTTGTAGAAATTGAGATTCAGCAGGATAATCTAGTGGGCAGATTTAGTCTGGATTTTCACAAAGTGCACTATATCAGTGTCCACATTTTTGGAGTGCCACTTTATATCCATTTACCTTTACTTCAAATTAAGTCTTCTTATCTTTCCACCACCTTTAGTTTTGTCAGTGTTCACCTTTAGTAATTTTCTTTCATATTTTGTAAGAAAAATCATCTAATCACATAGGCTAGCCTATATTTTATAAGTTTTTTTGCCAGAAAATCTCCATTTTGTACATAAAATGTTGTGTACTCCAAATTGACCTATTGTAGTAGAGTATTCTTACCTTGATGGCTATCATGACCCCATCCATATTTCTGTAAAGCTAAATTATGACAATAGAAGCACAGGTCAGCAGTTAATTTTTACATACGTACTAATGATATGAGAGTGACTTTTATGTATCAGTATGAACTTTATCTATTAGTTTATTTTAATGAGTTCTGTATGTGCACTTTTTTTATTGACCTGTCTGTCGTCAGATGCGTCAAGCTGCAGATGAGGATCGCCAGTTAAATGCCCAACGAAAGCCTGCCACTAAGAAGATAGGAATGTTAACTATTGCGATGACCCAGATTAACAAACATAATCTCATTGAGGGATTCCTTGATGCAAACATATTGTCTGCCCTGACAGACTGGCTGGCTCCTATGCCTGATCGCTCGCTTCCTGCGGCCAAAATTCGAGAAGCCGTTATTAGATGGTTACTTCAGGTAAATTGTTGTCCATCATTAATTTATCTCTGGCTTGGTCATGGAGCCTAAATTTCACCATTCATTCTTTCAGTGTTCTTGGGGATAATCATGTAGCCTTCCTTCTCCTTTGACCACATTAGTTTGCATTTCCAGAGTGATTATAAAGTTTGAGCTGCTGGTGTTACATATCCTAGGACTAGTCTGGTATATGCTGTGTGTATTATTGAGGAAGATTTCTGTAGGTACGTTCTTCCATACTATCTTTATATGTACCAACGTTGCATATGCTGCTGATTTTCAGTAGGATGACAATGCTGTAATGTATGTACAGTATTTTGTTAAAAGGTTGGTATTCGGATTTTAAACATTTATGGCCTCATAATATTTAATGTTTAAACTTTGTTATTTCATAAAATTACTGTATATAACAAATCATTAATCAAACATGATCAAATCTTTTTCAGTTACCACCGCTGTCACAAGACATGTTGAAGACTTCAGGTATAGGTAAAGCTATTATGTATCTCTACAAGCACCCAAAGGAACTCAAGCTGAATCGGGAGCGCTGCGGCAGACTCATATCAATGTGGTCGCGTCCGATTTTCAACGTGTCAGATGACTTCAAAAGTAAGAATAGAATATTGTGCATTCCTAACAGTTACTATTCTGTATAGCCATCACATCTCTAATGACTTCATTTGACTGAGCAAGCCCTATCTTCAGAGATTGGTCACATGTAATTGCTTGCCTATCTGCTCCAGTCCATTGAATGCCCTCTAAATTTTGAGGGGAAAAAATAATAATAAAAATTGTCTATGTATAATCAAGTACAGTATACAAGAGGGTCTATACAAGAGGGAGGGTCTACGTGGGGCCTCGTAGCCTGGTGGATAGCGCGCAGGACTCGTAATTCTGTGGCGCGGGTTCGAGTCCCGCACGAGGCCGAAACAAATGGGCAAAGTTTCTTTCACCCTGAATGCCCCTGTTACCTAGCAGTAAATAGGTACCTGGGAGTTAGTCAGCTGTCACGGGCTGCTTCCTGGGGTGTGTGTGTGGTGTGGGGAAAAAAAAATAGTAGTTAGTAAACAGTTGATTGACAGTTGAGAGGCGGGCCGAAAGAGCAAAGCTCAACCCCCCGCAAATACAACTAGGTGAATACACACTGCATTACCAGTCTCCCTATACTGCACCTTCATTTAGTTTAATAAAAAGCTTCCATTTCATGTCTCTTTTAGTTGTACTGTATACACTATCATTCAGCTCACATATGTTGTGACCGATGACTGTTGAATGATGGGGATTGTGTGCAGCCCTCTTAAGAAAGGCAGACAGTGCAGGTGTAGAAACAGGTCGGCATTCTTTATATTATAGCCACACGACGAGGCTTAGCCGGCCAAGTGCTGATTGGTTATCACCAAGACATCAAAATTATGCAATTGGTAAAACTAATATAAGTTGCAACCAGAATTTGTATTTATTTAAATTTAAAAATACTTAGAGCATAATAATTAATATTTTGTCATTGATAAATTCTAGTAACAATGGAAAGTTATCAAACAAACTGCATTCTGGCTACTTTCATAATAGTAGGGTTGTTCAGTGGAAATTACAAGTTGAGTCTTTGGACCATTGGATATATGGTGATATTTAAGGTCATTTTGAATGTAAAAATGGGTCTTATAGGTAAGGAAATAGTTTCTAAATCTTGAGGTGGTGGTTTCCTTTATTACTATTGTTAGTGGGTAGCCATGTGTGTATCCCCTATTGTGAGTGGGTAGCCTTATTTATTCCCTATTGTGAGTGGGTAGCCTTATTTATCCCCTATTGTGAGTGGGTAGCCTTATTTATCCCCTATTGTGAGTGGGTAGCCTTATTTATTCCCTATTGTGAGTGGGTAGCCTTATTTATTCCCTATTGTGAGTGGGTAGCCTTATTTATTCCCTATTGTGAGTGGGTAGCCTTATTTATTCCCTATTGTGAGTGGGTAGCCTTATTTATCCCCTATTGTGAGTGGGTAGCCTTATTTATCCCCTATTGTGAGTGGGTAGCCTTATTTATCCCCTATTGTGAGTGGGTAGCCTTATTTATCCCCTATTGTGAGTGGGTAGCCTTATTTATCCCCTATTGTGAGTGGGTAGCCTTATTTATCCCCTATTGTGAGTGGGTAGCCTTATTTATCCCCTATTGTGAGTGGGTAACCATATGTATCCCTGTTGTGAGAGGGGAGGGCTGCCGCTTGTATCCCCCTCATTTAGAATCCCCCTTCTAGACATTTAAATTGCTTTGTTAACATGATCATCACTTGCTAACACAAATATGGTAGTATTGCTCTCTTGTTAAGTGCTCGCTACTTGCCAACATAGGAAAGTAAGAAGTCATTGCCCCAGTAAATGCATTTTTATTATTATTATTTCAATTTTGTTCTCATGGGAGCTGCCTTCCCATTGGAAAATGATTGATGCTGTGTGTCATCCTCAAGCATCCAAAATGTATCTAGGAATTCAAGACTTCATAAGGTGTTCCTGCAACATTTGTAATTTTCCTCATGTGGGGTATTTTTATCACCCTGAGTAAACTTGCCACCACTTGCATGGACTTGTATAAACAAGTACATATATATTTTAATTCACTTGGACCATTGGAGCCTCATACCCGGGACCACAAATGTGTGTTGATAGGGAATGATGATTGGAACATACAAGTGGAAGTAATTAATGTTAAGAATAAAGAAGGGCATACCGTATACAGAGAAAATATTAGATCATTTTTAATTGTATTTAATGAAAGGTTAATGTTGAGTTGTGGAAGTTCTTAGGAGAGCACTATTTGGTACTGGTTTGAATGTTGTGAACTGAAACAATAGTGAAAATGTAGGTCTTCCCTTACTACTGCAGGGGGGGGGGGGGTAATGTTTCTACGCTCACAGCACCCCATGTTCCCATAACACACACAGCTCATTGTGCCAGCCTGTGGTCATTGTGCCAAATTATGTATTATGTCAGTCTATGCTTCTGGTGCAGTCTGTTCATATGCTGGAGGTATGCAGGAGACAATTCTGAATTGTCATGTGATTGAAAAACTTCTATAGTGGGATGATTTTGATCCCCATAATTTGATTACTGCTTCTCAGTGCCCTAAGTGGCTTTTCAGAATTCTCACTAACTTGAATTGTTGTCCCTATATTTTTAATTCTTAATCACATAAGTTAAATGCTGAATTTTAAGTTTACTTTAATGTTGAGTAATAAATGTTGTTGTTGATCAATATTTTTGTTTTGTCCCGTTTATTTTAGCATTATCTAAAGAGGAGCGCTTGGAGAGGGACATGGAGTTACATCAGAATTCAGGCGTCACCAAGAAAGAGGAAGTACAGTTAGATGAAAATGCGTAAGTTATGAAATAATTTTATGTAACAATATTTCATATGCTGTGCTCTGCATAAATACTGTCATTATACTTTTATAGACAAGTTCAGTACAGTATGTGAACATAATAAATATTTTGATCATTACCACATTTCCCACTTATGGGGTGGGAGAGGCATTTGTCCAGATAATATATGAGAGTTGTTTAGGAATGGAATGGTGATAGATAATTTGGTGAAATCACAGTGGACCTGTGCCACCACATTCCACAAATGCACCAAACTGCTTCATAAGACTAGGTATTAAGTGTTCCGTGTGAGTATTCAGTACAAGTATATCAATCACTCTTAACAAACTTTCTTCAACTAACCTTGTTCATACCACTTCTCATACACAATTCACACTTAATCTCTGCTTCTTCACACACTTGCCATGTATTTCCATAATTTTGTTTTCCTCTCCTTGTCCTAATCTCAAATTCATTTGCACATACACTTCATTATCATCATCCATTCATTCAACATTACCAAATCCATTTTATACGCTCACCTCAATCTTAGAGTTTACAGACTTGCACTCCACATCCTTCTGTGGAACCATTCCATATTCTAAAGACTGCATACGTGCTTTTCTTCAGTTATCGGGTTTTCAGGTATTCAAACTCTTGAGGTCTTAATTATTGCGGAATTGGGGTCGCATTGTACATACACAACCCGTTTTCAGACTAAGTCCATTTCCTCCAGTGGTCGACCCCAAAGATGCATTCATAAATTTTAACGTGCTGTTCATTCAAAACAGGAATTTTCTTAAATATAAATTAATATTATTATATATTATGTGCATTTTAGGCATTGGTTAGGTTAGGTGTTTTAGGGTCTGTTGGCAATTATTTGTATTTATGGTACTTGGGTGAAGCATTTACAGCATTGTGGTTCGAACAAAAATTGTCAGCGAAACACTTGTTCCGGAAGTGATCGGACGTCATCAGTTGTGAATCGTTTGTAAACCGGTTTTCATTCATAAAGAGGGGGTTTGGTGGGGCATGGAATGGACTTTGGCCTTTGTTTATGAGGACAGGCAACATTATCATTACCTTGCTTAATTCTGTCATGCGATTGGTAGATATCAGTCCAGAGAAAATAGTTGCAGAGTTAATTAAAGTACTGTGTATGTTCACCATACTAGAGGCATTGTACTCATTAATATCTTGTTTTGCCACTAGATCTTCTGTTTGCATTCTTTTATTATTTGCATACCTTCATTATCAGTGTGTAAACTTAATCTGGCAGTACTATGCAACTTTGAATGTACAGTACTGTTTGTGAAAATGTAGGTCTTCCCTTACTACTGCAGGGGGGTAATATTTCTACTCTCACAGCAACTGAATACTCAGTCACTCCTGAACTCTCACTTCTTCCGTGTGCATTGTGTTTCTTTTAGAGTTAGCCTTGAATGTGGAGGCGACTTGAGTCATGGGAATACTTTTGTGGTGTGTGTGCTCTCTGGGCTGGGAAAGGTTAATTTAATTCTGAGTTAACTTAAGAAAAAATATTCCCTATCCCAGTAAGTGGAAAGGGGGAGGGGGGGTGGGATATTAGCTAGCAAGAATGCTGCTTGACAATCTCTGTAATGCCGAGTAGTGCCTGGAAGAGTTTTTGAGGTTTTGAGTGTATTTGAATGAATCTTCCTGATGTCATTCCAGGATGGATTGAGCATTCTATCATGTCTCCCTTGGGATAATTTGAAAGATCTCTGCTGTTCTAGTGTAGAATGTTGACCATGCCCTGACTGAGCATGGTCCTGCCTATGGGACAAGTAAGACCTTATCTTAAGCTCTGGGAGCAACCAAGTGTCATATGCATAATTGAGCTTTTCATATACTGTACTGTACTGCACTTAAAGCTTTATATTTGTATGAACAACTTGAACAAATTGTTTTCAGTTCATTTCCTTGCCTGTTTGCCAGTTTAGTTGTATCTTCATTTCCAGGTCATGTTGTTAAGTAATTTATATTTAATTTGTACAGTATTTACTAGATTTTCTTTCACATTCTCATTGTAAAATGATTAGCTTCTAAATGCAAAGAATTCAGTATAACATTACAGGCAGTTCCCTAACTATGAACAAGTTACATTCTGAGAATGTGTTTGGGAGCAGTGTTTGGGAGCAGTTTGGGACGCAAAGCAAAATGTTCCATAGGTGCAATGCTATAAATGGGGATGCGTTCCTGGATCACCACAAATCCTCACAAGACTAATATTTTTGTGATTAATAACGTAAAAAATACAGTATATTATTTACCTTGAATGCCTACTTGTCTAAATTAGCTGTCCTGAAAAATAAGGTCTAATTATATGAATAAATAAATGAAAAAAAGTGTGTGTACTGTATTGGATTCAGTCATTTATAATTTATCTCACATGTTAACACCTCCATGACCTCTCTCCCTCCTTCCATCACTAATCCATCTACCCCACCCCACCGGGGGATAGAAATAGCCTAAGCTACTCTATCCCTTTGAGATGTATTTATTGCTTATCTTAAACATACTTGAACTTGAACCCACCCACCAACAGTAAACACGATCTGTGTGTATTACAACAGCGCTTTGCTAGTCTTCCATGTGATAATGGTCTAGTAATTGTGAGAGGCATGAGCACCCTGTCCTGAACCCAAGTTGCCCAGGGTTATGTTGACACTGTGATTCTGTGTGTTTTGTGATCATCTTATTATGCTTTTCAATGGTTTTAATGATGTGTGATGTAGAGCTTTTAGTTTATAATTCTTTGCATCTGCTTTACTATTTCCTTTGTAATAGAGTATTAGCCAGAATGTGCTAATGCATTCTGTGTTAATACAAAATATTTTGTTATTCTGTGTCTTGAGCAACTTTCTGAACAACATTACGCTTTAATTTTTTCCATGATGTTATTAGGAGTTAAGCCATATACAGTAATACTAACTTGTTATTAAATTACAGTTATTATGCTGACAATTATGAAAAGTTTTATGTACAATAAAACTTTTCATAATTGTCAGCAGGGAAAAAAAACAGGGATGTTTGAATTTGTTGCTTGTGATACTAATGAATGTGGGAAATGGCTTTGGCCATTTCCCTTTGGCTTTTAGAATGTAGAGGTTATAGGAATTTAGTGAGTCACATAATAGTGTATGAATAGTTTTTGTATATTAAAATGTAAGGTTAGCAAAATAGTTAAAAAAAAATTATCTTTCCAGGAAACCTATACGTCCAGGTGAGGCGGGTTGGTGCTACAGAGCTCGTGTTCCACGCCCATCAGGCAAAGATTATGTTAATCGACCTAAATGGCAAACAGAAGTGGACATTAGTAGGGTAAGTTTGCAGAACCAAATTTAGCTGTTGTAGGTAATTTTACTCGGAGATCTCTCCTGAATGGGTTTGTACAAAATCCTGTATAAAGCTTGCAATAAGTTCTGTGGGACAGATTATTGAACACACAGACCCGAGAATAATGGAATAAATATAAAGTAAAAGCAGGTCAGCTTTCTAAGACACTATTTATTCATGTAAAAGATTTAAACCATCCAACCGACTGGAATATTTTTCATAAAAATTTCTTTGTCGTATTTAACCCTTTGGCTGCATATCCCATCATATGAAGTATTAGGGAACTGCATAAGATTAAAAGTCTTGCATATATATGGAGCTCACATTTGCTTTCAAACAAGAAATGCTGTACCAATGATACTTTTTAAGACTAGTTCTCTCTAGAGTGGAATATTGTTGAACACTAATAATCCCATTCTAAGCTGGAGAAATTGCTGACCTGGAGAGCATGCAAAGATCTTTTAGTGGTAAAATCCACTCAATAAAACATAAATTACTGGGATCACTGAATGGTTTTTAAATCTGTATTTCCTAGAGCGCAGGTGGGAGAGATGCATAATAATTTACACTTGGAAAATACTAGGACTGGTCTGCACATAGACATGACACCACATGAGACCAGAAGGCATGGCAGGATGTCCAAAATAGCTCCATTGAAAGCGGACGTGCAGTAGGCACGCTGAGTGAGAATTCAATCGACGTGAAAGGTCCAAGACTTTTCAACACTCCCCCTCTACACATTCGGGGTTCAAAAGAGAACTTGATAAGCACCTTCAAAGGATATCTGATAAACACCATCAAAGAATAAAGGTTTGATGTCAGGCTGCCAGCGGCCGCATCAAACAGTCTGGTTGACTAGACCACCAACCATGAGGCCTGCTCAGAGACCAGGCTGTGGGACGTTGATCCTTGGATGCATTGATAGGTATATGACAGGACAGTCTTACAGATATGAATTTCTGGAGGTTTCCTTGGACACAGGCTGTGGAGAAATGGTCATATGCACATTGGTCTTCTTTTGCAGTACCTCTTGAGGAATTCAAACATTTCTTCCTTGATGGATCCTATATCCTTTGAGTTGGTTCAGTGTCATGTTTTTGGCTACATTTCGAGGTTCTGAACTCAACCTGGATAATAAGTTTAAATGAAGGCGGCATATTAACCACCGCGCTGCGCCGAGTTTATTGTGAAATTTTCCGTGTGCATGAAATAAAGTGTTCTCCCAAAAAAAATTTCTTTGTAAAATGATAAATTCCCTTCTTCGAACATGTCTATGTAAAAATGAATACCAAATTCCACTATGGTTGTGGGGATGTGGACAAGGTGTGCTGTGACGTCATCAGGGCCTGGTCGCCCGTGCGTGACTTGCTCAGACACGGTCGTGCGGATCATTCAAGCACCGGGTGTTGCCACAAATATATTTTCAATTATTTGTTCTCTTTATTTCCAATGCGGTATTATTTGTTTTTTTATTGTATATGATGCATATTTGTGTCCTTTACAATATGTATACAGTAGAACGTTCATAATGTTCCATGGAACTGTGATTAATGTGTCCACAATAAATGTTTATTGTTGCAATATTATGTGTTAAAAATTCACTAAAATTACAATATGTACAGTTTCACACACTATGTACACAGTAACACACTGTATTACACACTCAGTACTTCAGAAGTGAATAATAATCAACGAAGTAGTCCATGGTACACAGCGCGACTTCGCTCTCGTTGCACCAGGTACAGATAGATTTTTGCTTCCTATTTCTTCGTTCTGTGTGCTTGCAAATAACGCCCTCACGTACACCTTTGACATTAGTACCTGTAGGTGGTATGTAGCCAAGCTTGTAAAACGTAAGGTAGTCTTGAAAAGATTACAGGAAAAGATAAATTTGTAAGGTAGTCGTGAAAAGATCGCTTTGTAAGATCCCACACAGTAAGTGATATAGCCAGCCTCAAAGTGTGTCCATCAGTCAAGAAGAGATTCAGCTATTATCTATGGAAAACACCACCATGGAAGCTACTAACACTGTTCATCTATGCTACTTGTATCAGATGCATCATCACTGAATGCAGAAAACAATTCACCTATGTATCATCTAAATAAATTGGAGATAGCATAGCATAGGTGGGCAAGGAAGGTGCTCAGAGCTACAATTGGATACGCTCGCTGTATCGTCCTCATAGGTGCTGGATAACTTGCATCCGACCTTTGTGTTAGGTCCTTATTGTGCCTAGCTTCACCAATATTATGACCCTTATGTTCCTCAAACAATAAGGTTTGAATTTCACTGACAGAGCGCGATCTTGCAACACCGCGTTGGACAGGTGTTTGGGAGCCAGAAGCGTGTGCGCCATTCATGGTTGCTCACTCAGTACTAAGCCAGCCAGCAGCCCTAGGGCATTTTGGGATTTTTTTTCCAAGTTGGCTGCCTCTCTCTGGAGGTCCTAAGAGACCATTTTGTCCACAACTAACCTCGCACACATTTAGAATGGGTACGAAAAAATCAGAAGAGTTTTCTCTGTTTGTGCAATTTCCCACCGACCGAGAATACTCGGTTGGCGCAGTTAAGTGGTTAATGTTATAAGAGGATCTAAACAGATTCAAAATGAACTAGAAATAGGAGATTCACTTCTGTGCTGACAAATGTATAGTGCTGAGCCTATTGAACCCTTGGACACAGGCTGTGGAGAAATGGTCATATGCACAAAAAATAAAAAATAAATATATATATATATATATATTTTTAATATATAATTAAAAAAAGATTCATTATAGAATTATTTATTTGTATGCAAAATGTAAGAAAGATTAAAAAATAAGTGAACATTTATCGTTTGACTGGGTGGAGGCGCACCCCAAGGCTGCATCTAGCACTTGTTTACGTCTGGTGCTTGACTTTGGTGATACTTCCTGTTTTTTTCCTCTGTTGTTTCACTGTTTAATCACTTGTTTTTCTTTATTTACATTCACAGAGAGCTATTATATCCATATTTGCATCATACATGTAAAACCCAGACAATAATTGTTTAAATTGTCATATGACAACTGCATTCCCCCTAATAACATTCATGATGATAACTGCATTCATACCATGAAATAGTAGCAGGATTTTTTTCATGGGTCAACATA